CATTTGGCTCCATTGCCATCAAAAGGGTATTTGGGACGTGAAGCTATACAGCTTATGGTTTACAAATATTTTCTAGTTAAAACTATCTCTCCAGTGTGTATCGGTATAATAAAACGGTTAAAGTATGGGGTTGAGGCATATATAGCAAGTTTCTGGTGTCCCTTGACCATGTCTATTTCCCTCGGCTTCGCCTCGGGAAATAGACCTGGTCTCGGGACACCAGAAACTTGCTATATCCCTCAACCCCATACTCTAACTGTATAATAAAACACAAGCAAGCCAATTCAAACTTAAGTACACTAACCCATCCTCTGACCCTCCCACGTTTAAAAACTTGCAGCAAACAGTACAAATACCTATAATAGCAATTATGCCTGCCCAAAGTACCAACTATTGAATTTAATTAACTGAACAAGCACCCAGCAATATTTCACAATATAACTGGCCACTTCTCATCATCATCACAGTTGACATTAACACTGTGCCTCCTACAAATTAACACTGAGAACAGTGTTTGTAAAGTTTGTCATAGATTTACATGTTTTTAGATCAACACTGCATGCTTTAAGTCTGGCATATGAGTGACCTGTGTAATGAGGTCATCCCTATTTGACAGACATACATACATGTTAAGACTGACAGTGATCATGATGGACTGGCTTGACCAGAGTCACCTTATAACACCTGCACAAGGTCACAAAGTACATATGTTTACTTCTGTCTAAATGGAGCTCATCCTCATCACAGACTTACATAAAATCTAATTCCGTGTCTTCATTGACCAACAGTTGTACAGGCAATGCCAATTGAATGTTGATAAATTATAACTCGCTTACAATAATTAGTCGAAAACTTGCATTTATCTATTAAATGTTGAATCCTCTGATGGTATTTTTACTTAGGATATTGGCAGAATTACTCAAGTGCTTGAAAGTTGGTGATTGCTTAAAAAGATCAGGATATATAAGAGTGTGTTATAAAGTTTTCATAGAAAAAAACCCACAGAATTTACATGTGATGTTCTCTTGCTGCGAATCAGAGACACATTTATTTTTTCATAAAAATCAATCATAAGTGTTTGATATCATTTTTACAAGATCAAGTGCAGCCCAAAAGAGGAGAGTGGGGGTGACACAAGGGCACATATCATAGACTTTTGCTTTTCACAGATATAAACCTATAATTAGGGGAAATATCTTCACAGAAATATCCTGCTCTACGCTATAACAAAATAGATTCTAATAATACATTTTCTACAAAGGTTTAACAGCCTAAAAAAACTCTTTTAATGTCTGCCACAATGTTACCCTCAAACTCTAGGTACAATCAAACCTGCATCTACCTGCCTGAACTCTATAGCCTGACATTTAAATGCGTTCAAGTGCTTCAGTTCTTACATATAATTACAACCAAACAGAGCTGATATCATGAAAAAAATGTATAATAAGGTTCTCTATTGGCTTAATTTGTAGCAAATTGTTTTTCTGTACATGAAGTAATAGTACAAAAAAACCAGCTGTTGAACTGAAAAGTTCATAGCCCTGCCAGTCTATATTTATGGCATGTTCTTTTATATATGGCCTTAAAAAACTATTGAAAATGTGTACATTACATTTGCTTGCTATAGTTAATAACCATTGTCTAATATAATTAATTATAAGCCATTTTGACAGACAGTATACCTGAGATTGATCTAAATACATAATCATTAAAATGTACTTAAGTTTTTCAACATTTCCTTTATTGATAAAAAAAATCAGTAAATTAAATCACCAATTGATTTTAAGTCACCAGGCTGTAGATATAGTACAGGAAAGATGAGCTCAGGTGTTCCCGTTACATCTAGTTGACAATTCTCTGTTATCAATTTAATTGATTGTCATTTTAATAATAAAAAAAAAACTTTCAGTTTCTATTCATCTCACTACTTTGTGAAAGTTATTTTACATGTTACCCATGCATGATGTTAGTTCCAGTCTTGTAACTTACTAGGGCATACAGAGCTGTAAGTACTTAAATATTAATTATAAGGTAATTGCATTTTAATTTAGAGGTATATATTAAAATGTTTTAATTGACAAAATGATCATGATGTGTATTCTGATAAGGACACCAAGTTTAGATGTATTAATAGACCTCAACTAAAAGTAATTCCTCCTTTACCCGGACTTCATCTGTCCAGGGAACTAAACTCCCTCAGCAGTTTCGAGGGTGCAGACTAACTCCATAGACAATCTCTAGTGTATCATTTTTCTCACAGATATGACTGAATTGATTAAGATGGAGCTGACCAATTTATGTAGGTTGTACATCCATTAATTGTAGAACATGATCATGAGACAACATAGTCCGAATTATTCTGACGTTTTATCGACTTTTTTCATATCGGTCTGTCGTTGACTCTAAAATATCAGTTTGAAGTGCGCTCCGGGCGCGGGTCGCATATTTCCCGCATATTATAGAGGGCCGGAGTTCTGACGTTAATCGACGACAGACCAATATGAAAAAAGTCGATAAAACGTCAGAATAATTCGGACTTGATACAACAGTGCTGTCAATATTGAAAAAGTAGATTTAGCTCACCATAAGTTTCAAAAATTGAAGTTGACATATTGCTTTTAAAAGACATCTGTGCATTTTGTATCAGTGTATTGCAAGGTTATGGTTCATTTGACCAGCAAACCTGTAATCAATCACGAAAAGTGAAACCGATTCCCATCACCGTTGTTTATATATGAACCCACCAAAAGCACTTTAAAACAAAACCCCTTTCAGTAAAGTACACATGAACTACATAAACAGCTAGGTCATGTTACTTGCATGAGTCATAGTGCTTGTGTATGGTGTTTTTTAGACTGGCCCTCATCTCTAGAATATTGAATCATTTAGAAAAATATAATCTATAATAATTTTGACCACTTTGATGTCTGATTCTAAGTTCTAAACTAGGGGGAGATAAGCTAGTAGTAACATGTAGCCAGGAAATTCTTCATAAAAACTTAGGGGCTGGTAGTAGCCAGTCTAGGTCTTTTTGATAGTACCCAATGCAAGCACTATAACACTTTATTGTCACCAGATCTCAAAATGTAAAAACATGCATGGCAGTGAATATCATATTGATAGTGACCATTTCATATGGTTTCAGACCCTTCTGTTAGTAAAAACATAGTTGCTTAAAAACACCTTTTAGAAGCACAATGGTTGCCAATACTTTTTGTTGTTAATAAACTTTTTCACCCCTGAAGACACATTTGAACCCTTAAAATTCAAAGGTTGGAATAGTTCATTATGAAACTTCAGGGGTGAATAAGTTAGGTTACAACAATGGGTCCCAGCTGCAGACACTCCTAACCGTCCTGTTAACAAGAACATGTTCACACTGTTCCTGTTACCACCTGGTTGCAGGCTGACACATCATGATCGTATACCCTTCAACAAAAGCTAATAAAACAGTTGCATGTAGGTTTTAGCAGATTATATATGTATAACAAGCCTGAAACCTATATAGGGCATTTGTTACACTGCAATGATCTTCCTTTACATATGGCACTTCGCAGGTGAACAAATAACATAAAACCATTTATGAAAAAAATAACAGCTGAGCAATGTCAGCATCAGTGAGATATATATATTTGATATAGAAGAGATCTTTTGATGATAAATTAATCACATTTGTAATGGTTGAGGTCATTCTTTCATCTATATATGGCAATTTAAAATTAATTAAGTCCAAAACCCAGATCAAGATAGTTTTATTACTTTCCTTTCGTATTGAATTTTCCCCTTTGGATGCAAATTTGTATAACTTGCCACAGACTGGTCCTTATTAAAACAGGAATTCAATATATAATTAGCTGTGATTGGCTATTGACAAATTTATTTGCATAAATGTGATGATTACATTAAATTACCATGCACCAACAGAAGGAAGTATTTAATTCTGGTAAATTGTAATAAAACTACCCTATTGTGACTCAGCGACTTTTAAAAGCAGAATTCTGCTTTGAATTAGTAGGTTTTCAGCTATAAAAGAGAAGTTAAAAACGTTGTTTCTTAAATAACTGATGATAATCGTGCAAGGTATTTCACTGAGATGATCTTTTAACAAATTTTACAAAAGTGCTTAGCAATGCAAGGACCCTGTAATCCATACAAAACGTCATTCAGTTTATCTTCAGGAAAAGTGTGTTTGTTTATAGAAAGAATACATTTTACCTGTACATCTCTGAAATCTGATAAACCCCGGTTTACATTATTTACAGTAAAACTCTTGAAAAAAGAAACCTTGTCCAGTAGTGTACCTTACATTATTACAGTTCTGATATAGAATTATTTATGACTGTAAAGGCATCAAATTCCCACACTTATTATTCGTCGTATATAAAGACATGACGTCGATTGTTTCTGAAGAGTTAATCGAGTGTGTACATTTACATAAGGACGATGTTGGCAGCGATAACGTCACTTGACCTTCACATTGACGTGACATTGTAACCCTGAGACAACAATACAATGATATGTTACTCTTGCCGCATTGTATGTCAATGAATTTATGAATGTTCATTGAAATTACATGCATAATTGTTTTCAAGGTTGCAATGTGTATATATATGTACAGTAACAAAAACACATGGAACAGAATTCAGGTATTGAGCACTCTTTTCATAGTCATCCCCTAATATAATCACTTTTAGCCGAAGACAAAACTTTAAGTAGCTATATGCATAATGTAGGTCCAGGGTTTTAGATAAGCTATGAAGATTTATATTCATTTTGTCAGGACATTGTCAAGATATACAATGAGCAAAACTTCTAGATGTACAAGTCAATTTAAACTAGTTCTTTCTCAATCTGCCAATTGAATCAACATACCATATAAAATTATGCTGAAAAATGTAAGTATAGAATTGAAGGTGATGGTATTACAGGAAATCCCATGTTAGGGCAGGTCAAGATGTCTTAATTATAATAAAATAATTTTCTGTGTTTTTTTATTACAGGAGGAGTCTTGTCCGACAGTCTAGCCCTCTTCACTGATGTTTTACACCTGGGCAGTGACCTAGTCAGTTTTCTCATTTCCCTCCTCGCCATCTACCTGTCGAAAAAACCCGCCACTAAAACCATGTCATTTGGATACCACCGTGCAGGTAAGTTCAGGATCATATATAACATGTTACTAAAACTGGTGTCAATCGAAAATATGACCAAGCACTAAAAACAGGTAACTCCAATAAAGTGTATAACGAACCCATGGCCATTACTAAATTTTTTAACGATCCCTTACCATTGTGGAAGACTGTAACTTTGCATTATAAACCAGTTTTATTTGGCATGGCTCATCTTCTCTAGCCAAGTGTTTGATGGAGTGTGTACGAAGCATAGATGGGCATCGCTGTACCTTTCTATGTTACTGTATACTGGGAAATAATTATCGCCTTTTTCAATTTCCATAATTAGAGCAAAATAACTTTTACAGAAACATATAAAAACAATATCATAAACAAAACATGTGAAGGGCAAATTTAATATTTAGCAAACATTTTACTGTGTGAAAATTATTTCTGTAAAGTAAACCATATGCCTTGCTAGCAGGACTATCTAAAAAACAGATAAAGATAAAATAGGCAAAATGTTATCAATAACAGTGGTCTGTGTGTAAATATAAATTTAGCATTGCTAGACTTAGGGTTTCGAACCATGGACCTCAGATTGATAATTACTGTCACTCTAACCAACAGTAAGCTATATATATAACTACCTGGTGGGGATGGGGCTACGGTGGCCAAGTGATCAAGGCGCCCGACATTCTGCTACAACTAGCAGACATTCATGGTGGCCAAGGCAGTCGCATGATAGTAGCTGTAAGTTGATGGTTTTTCTCCGGGAACTCCGGCTTTCCTCCATGTTCATTAAGGATTTATCAGTGGTACTTATTAAAGGCCAAATTAAGGGACACGGTGGCCAAGTGGTTAAGGCGTCTGACATTCTGTTACCACTAGCCTGGCTCCACCACTGGGTCGCGTGTTGGAGACCTACGTACACGTGGGACAGTCGTCGGGTACTGGCCATAGGTTGGTGGTTTTTCTCTGGGAACTCCGAAACAAACCAAACGTAGCACGTCCTTAAATGACCATAGCTGTTAATAGGACATAAAACACAAACAAACCAAACGTAGCACGTCCTTAAATGACCATAGCTGTTAATAGGACATAAAACACAAACAAACCAAACGTAGCACGTCCTTAAATGACCATAGCTGTTAATAGGACATAAAACACAAACAAACCAAACGTAGCACGCCCTTAAATGACCATAGCTGTTAATAGGACGTAAAACACAAACAAACCAAACAAACCAGCTACCTGGTCAATGGTATAATACCCTTGCCCAAGTGCGCTATACAGTTATGTCCAAAATGGAATTAAGGTATGGTTAAAATATACGGAAAATCTAGTATTTTGCCGCAGTGAGACGGATCATTAAGTTTGAAATCATCATGACCAAGCAGGTAATTCCGGGTAGTACCTGTCAGTGAAATGGTGTCAGATCAAACCCATCACTAAAATCCTGTTGACAGGATACCATCACACAGGTATTGCCAGGTAACCCATATTATCTCCACCTGTTATGTTGTTTGTAAATTATCATGGCCGATCAAGGAGCAGTGAGTCCGGTTGAGAGTAGTAGCCTAGCTGCCCCTTATACCAATATAGATAACAGACTAGTATGCGATTTCATCTATATTTCAAATGTCTTACACTGTGTCACCATAAAACGTGTTGTACGAGGAACAATTTCAATGACAATTTAATGTACGTGTACTTGATAAGATAAAGAATATCATTAATGTGTTCAGGGTTTGCATCCTTGCAACTGTAAACTAAGTCATATGAAAATAGTATTCACAGAGGATATAGGACAACTGACATGGTCACTTTAATTTGATATTTCTCTGGAATGTCAAAATGTCCCCCAATTAATGTCTTCTTTGAAATCCAAGGATAACCCGCTCCTGGTACACATACAGTTGTATCTTCTGTACATGTACACCCTTGGAATTAATATGTCATGACAAATAAACGAGGCCATCTTACAGATGATACAATATATAAAGTTATGCTTTTGTCAGTTTTGTCAAGTGTAATGTTGTATCTGTCTCAAGAAAAAGACCTGGGCCCACTTGTATAAAACATCACAACTCTTGAGATTTCCCATAGACAATACATTGCTTGAGATTTTCCTTAACTTTGAGATGTTTTATACCAGTGGGCCCTGTGTACTAGATATCCCATGAGCTCTCCTTAAAAGTTTGGTTATATTGGATTGTTAGTGCTTTACTTCCTATAAACAGCTATGGTCATTTAAGGACGTGCCAGGTTTTGGCGGTAGACAGAAGCTCTCATTAGATTCAGCTCTTATTTTCATCATGGTACATGGTATGATGACATCTGATTACATTTTAGTGGTCATCAGTGTCACTATTTAAGGTTCAAATGTCACAGATAAACTTCACCAACTTTTGTAGTAAAAAGGGTGTGTCCAGGATTTCTCAGTCACTGATCGACATGACTTATAGCATGATTACTTACGATCGATCTTGTCCAGTCATTGGTAATCGCACGACAACTCGAACCACCAGTCAAACGATGACCAATCTTAAGAGCAATCGCAGTATGTGATCGTCAATTGAGATCGTAGCAAATAGTGACGATTGGTTGTACGTACCTTCGCCAAATTGCCACCAGTCACATGATCGAGAAATCGTTCAATCCAATGTGACTTCAGAGGCCTTAGCGAACCCCTGCTAATGCTAGAATTGTTTTATTGTGTAAAACAAGTAATGATAACCAATATGTTATCATGCATACTTGTCCATGGTATTACAATAGGAAACAAAATATGTTACATGATTCCCTTTCATTAATTACGGCTGAAATAGTTGTAATTGAAAAATTGCTGCACTATTAACTTTGAGTAACATGATAAAACCAGCTCCAGATCAGGAGTTAACACTACATTGATTGTTAATGGTGTTTCCATGTTTTATAAAGTCCAATTATATATGCATTGTACTGATTTATAATTATACTATCAGCTGCTATTACTGATACTTATTTTGATTGGTGACAGCAATTTCTTGCCATTTATTTGTATCATCATCATGTTTGACCATCCTATCATGCCACAGATCTGTTGTGGGAGAGTGATGAGAAAGCTAGTATTTACCTACGATTTGTCTCCAATGATAACTGTGATGATTATACTGTATACTGATCCTTCAGCTTAAATCAAACCCTTATAACACCCAGTTCTCCAACTATGATTTTTTATCCAAATTATGCTGATCTTTTTGAAAGAAACAAAAAACTGATCCCACATTTTGGCATTTCACTTCAAAAACAATGGGAAACTTCAGATAGATATTTCCGTCATAAAAACCAGAATGGTACCAGATATTCCTCCATAGATAATTTGAATCCAAATGTGGAGCTATATATGCTTACTAGTTACACCAAAAAGAAAAATCCAAAAATCCATGAATATTAAGACATCAAGAATACACATTGTAGCATCTGTCGCATACCCTAATGTACACTGATGGTTCCAAGGACAGAGGAAGGCTGCAGTGGCTTGCATTCTTGCATACAAAATTTCATCCTGCCAGCGTGCATCTATTTTTACAGCACGAATAGCAGCTATCTGATTGCCTTAAGTGATATTGAAAATATTAAGTAACAGGAGAGTTATTTTAGACAATGTATATTTCTAACCCACGCCAGGCCCCGTTAGGAATGTATTTCCAGTTTGGGTAATACCTTGTCTTTATACATGTATGTAAACAATCAATAACTATTTTCCTCGCATGATCTCCTCCAACCATCATTGAGTGCCTGTGCTCTAATCAAGTGAGCTAACTGGTCAGTAGTGTTATCCTGGCCCAGTTACAGGTATATCCAAATTGAAATTAAGGGGAGGTTATACTGTATACATGAAAATTCTACTGTGGAATCTCGAGCAGTGTTTTGCCAGCAGTGGGACAGGGATCCTTACTCATTCACCCCTGAAATTTGATAATGAACTATTCCAACCTTTTAATTGGAAGAGTTCAAATGTGTCTTCAGGGGTGAATGAGTGAAGGAAAACTAAGTTGTGTAGGAGGTTTAATTTGCAACTTCGCATATGTGTAGAGAACTGAAGTCTCATACATCTTGGAAGAGCCTCGTCTCTTACATTTCTTGAGTCTGGCATGAATTGCTAACTTAATTAAGTCTCGCGTGTATGTAACTTGATGGTTAAATACATGTAGTTGCTTTGCCAGCCATCATTGTGTGATCAGTTGTCCTTGGTCTGTATGAACAGCTGGTGCCAGTCATTGATTGGGTTTTCCTTGACAGCAATGACATCATCAGGACTTGGAAATGCTGTATCAGGTCCCCAAGGGCACCTAAATTATTAATCGCAGATGGAGGGGTGCAGGTGTGAGGTAGGGGAGGGGCTTACAAAACACTATTCTACAGACATTATGTAAATATGAATTTTTCTGCCTTGAAAAAAAAATATTATTAAGGTAGTATTAGATAACAATAAGTATTTTTGATATTGACCCTGCTTAAGTAATGTGGTTAACTAGTGATGTAGGGCTGTGCAGAAAGGAAACTGTGTTCTGTGCTTGAGAAAGATGCTTTGTGTTTATTGGAGAGATGATTGTCTAGTAGGGCAGTCACACGCAGAAAGAGAAGAGTTCCACAACTGACAACACCAATTTATCAAGGTTTTGTATCCTTAATAGATCTACTAGGGCAGTCACAAAGAATGAGAAGAGTTTCACAACTGACAATGTATTATTATTTTCATAAACAAACAGGAAACAAACGTTGGTGCCAGGTGAAGGACGGCCTATTATAACAGTCTGATCACGAGTCGGGGATCGTGTACAGATAATATCAAGATGTCATCTCATGAACATGTTTTATTATATCGGGAAATAATCCATATACTTTATTTTTAAGTATTCAACGTTCTGATTGCCTTTTGTTACCGTTATTCTGTTCCGAAGAGTTGTATACGCTTCATGCGGCACTATGAAATTTGTGTTCTGTAATGTGGCTTTAATTGTGCAGTCATTGCATGCAATTCAAAACCAATACTTCCATTTCATTGTACTTAAATTTTCAAACAAACCCTACAAAAGTTTTGTCTGGTCATCATACATTGTTTCACTGAACTTTAGTTTTACATTATTTAGCCACTGGTATCTTGGGGTGACAAGCATTGGTTGGATTTTTATGCATTAAACCTTTCAAAAAAATGAAATATTGCTGAATTCAGCAGGAACCTTTTTATAAATATGTATATCATCTACTCACAGTTACACTATACATATGTATATCATCTACTCACAGTTACACTATACATATGTATATCGTCTACTCACAGTTACACTATACATATGTATATCATCTACTCACAGTTACACTATAAATATGTATATCATCTACTCACAGTTAAACTTTATATCAGCCAATTAGCGACAGTTAAACTTTATATCAGCCAATTAGTGTCAGGTTTATATGAAATGAGTTCAATAAGGAAACAAAACCAATTTATATTGCAGTGGGTGTTATTTATTACATCAATAAATTTATCGCCATTTGAATAGAGAACTTTAAGATTTTATGATTCCATATTGGGTTAATTTTGTATGTTTTTTGTTTCCATAAAAAAATAATACACCGATAACATTACAGTTTTAACGGTACATTTGTTATGACATGCAAAATATTGGAATTTTATATTTAGTTTTGTGTCATATTTATTGATTGAAAGCTTAAACCTGCTAAAAGTGTCTCCTACAGATCTATACGGGGCTAAAATAGTTTTTGTAACACCTGCAAAACTAATCACACTTGATCATTGATTTATACGAAAAGAAAAAAAAATACTCCTTGTACAGATCGCTCAGTGATATTTAATATTTGCATACAAATTGCTACCTTTTATCATGTACATGTACTCAACACATGTCTCCAATCAAAACCAAGCATGCATGTATTAGTTACAAATGTATCAATATCTTTTTATGTATATGCTGAAAACAGCCGTTTTGTTATAATGATCAAAGCCATTATCATATAGAATGTCATATTGGATGGTTGTATTAAAAATATACAATAAAATCAATAACTTCAAAGTCTCTGTGAATATGCACAACTCTGCTTTGTACCGGAGAACGTCCTGCTTTATTTTCTCCTTAATGATGTCTTCCAAAACATCTTCCAGAACGAAAACGTGTTTTTAAACATTTTTCAGATGAGGGAATATATTGTTGTTAATTTAAGTTAAAATATTGAAGCTTTACTTGTTGGCTTGTTTAAATCATACATATTTAAGTTATGATCATGGTCACCTTCTAGCTAATTTGCACAAGAGGGAATTTCCCTTTACCTGGTAATTAACACAATTTAATTAGCAGAGGCTGCAGACTGGGAGGCTGGAGGTTACTGTATAGTGTCGCTAAAATAGACTACAATTACATAAACTGATATATATGTAATTGGACCCCAGAGGTTGAAGCCCATCACTGTCATTGTATGCATATTACTTTACACCTGTATTACTGCAGTCACAAATTCATGCAAAATGCTGTGCATGACATATTCATGATGTCACTACACATACCTTACAGTGCATTAAAAGCAACACATCAAAGAATCTTTAAAACGTACGTCGTATAATTTATCAACAAATACCAAACCATGAAATCTTCGACGTATTTACATGATAATTATAATTCAATGGCAGGTGCCAGGTGGGTTTTAACTGATCACTGTTCAGCTATTAATGTTGGAAAATTTTGTAAAATCATTTTTCACAAATAAATTTGATTATTTATGTATATTTGTGGCTGGGCGGACATTTCTTTTTCTCTTAAAAATGCCAAGAAGTGTCTATCATTCAAGTCTTAAAATTGAATTATTAATTCAACTTCTAACTCTTATATCATTAATTGTATGCCATTTGTGTGATGTTAACAGTATAGCTTAAATGTTAGTCACATATTTTTATAATTGTTTTTTAATTAATTTTTTATTATTTTGAATTTCTATTTTCAGAGGTTCTAGGGGCCTTATTCAGTGTGTTCATCATATGGCTGGTGACCGGGGTCCTGTGTTATATGGCCGTGGAAAGAATTACAGGAGGACATTACACAAGTGTCAAACCAGATGAAATGCTGGTCACAGCTTCCCTCGGAGTCATGTTTAATGTTGTGTAAGTCAATCATGTTGTCAAACCTGAGGAATAATATAACCATCCCCTACCTTGAGGGTGCACATGAGACAGAGAAATCTCAATCCTGAGGGTAGATTTTTTTCAGTTGTCTAACATGAGGCTATGCCGAGATATATCTGTTACACCCTCAAGGTAGGGGATTATTATGTCTCCCCTTCGAATGAAGGGCGACATGTTGGATTAGTACTGGTTCTTCTTCATCTTCTTCTTTTGGTTCTTGTTATTGTTCTTCTTCTGGTTTTTAGGTCACCTGAGACAAAGTCTCAAGTGACCTATTGCGATTGCGTTTTGTCCGTCGTCGTCCGTCGTCCGTCGTGCGTCCGTAAACAATTTACATTTTCGACTTCTTCTCCAAAACCCCTGAACCAATTTCAATGAAATTTTGCAGGGACCTTCCATGGACAAAGGTCAACAAAAATAGTTGCCGGTTTAGTCCTACGCCCCCAGGGGTCTGAGGGGCGGGGCCAAAAGGAGTCAAATTTACTAAAATTTCAAAAATCTTCTTTTCCAAAACCCCTTAACCAATTGCAATGAAATTTTGCAGGGACCTTCCATGGACAAAGGTCAACAAAA